AAACTTATTTCTCATTATCATTCCTTTATTTTCAACCATCAATCAGATTATTATTAATCTATGATGAAATTAAACATTCAATATACCTAATTATTATGCTGTATTAATTTACAAATAAAAATCAAAGTATCTTTTGATCAATTTCGATTGATTGATTCATTCATTGGTTGATTGATTGATTAATTCTTTAGTTTATCGTAATCCCTTTGTAATAATAATAATAATAATAATAATAATAATAATAATAATAATAATAATAATAATAATAGTAATAGTAATAGTAATGATAGTAATAACAATACTAGTAATGATAATAGTAATGGTAATAATAATAATGATGATTTGGCAGATTAGATTAACTAATGTGAAGTGAGCTAAAGAGGAGAGCAAAGTAAATAAGATAATAACAATAATGATAGTAATGAAAGATGACAGAGGAATTAATTCAATCATTTTGTAAAGATTACGATTAGTTTAAAGTGAAATAATTTATTGAATTATTTATTTTTTATTTAATAAAAGGAAAAGAAAAGAAGAGAACACTATTTTCTACCTACACAAGTTGACTTGTATTTCACATCATTATGATTATTATTAATAAAGGAAAAAAGGAATAAAACAAATCTTAAACAAAAGTCTTTGAAATGGTGGGGAAGATTTATAGCTCAGATGGATGATTTTGATGGAGTTTTGTTACCTGAAGTCTGTGCTGATGATGTCGTTCAGAAGAACGATGAAAGCTCTACGATCAAACCATCTAGCTTAGGGAACAAAAACTCCATCACAAAAGTCTTTCTTTATCTAATATTTATTGTTGATAGATGTAATTTAATGTTATGAAACTGGTCGTCGCCGATTGTTATGTCCGGATCGCTTATTACTTGTGCAAATGAGGAATCATTGCAAGTTTCATGATGTGAAGTAAGAAAACCAAAACTGTTACTGTAGTATGTGTTACTGATGTTAATAGATATAAGTAGTATGTATCATCAGTCGAAAGTAGAATACCAGGCAGTAGAAAGTTGAGAAGATCAGAGAGAAGAGAACGAGAACAGAGTGTGATTGATATGGAAAGAAATTAATAGTAAAGTCTAAAATAACTGATCGATATTTTGCAAATGAATTATTTACCATATGATTCTTACATTTTCCTAAGAGATTCTGCAATGTTGCACTACAGTACATCTGGTTGTTCCTACTTGTGTTCTCGTTCACTACAGTACAATTTATTAACCCGAAAAACACGACGATGACGACGACTCTAGTTGAAAATACATTCACTTATACGTTGATTATACAACCATTTTGATTATTAAATAGAATGAAATCATATATATGAAAAACTACACAGAGTTTCCAACAAATCAGCATGTTGTATATCATGCTGAGGAGAATTCATGTTAATTGAATACAACGATTAATATACCCTTGTGGAAAGTTAAACAACCAATACACTAAATAAATAAACAACACATTGGATTAAAAATGAAATTAGTGTGTTGAATATTAAAAAAATCTTATTGATTAAATCTATGCAATTTTTTTCATTTTCATCCCGTCCAATATGAAGAAACATGGTAGTAACTAGAATTTTCTTTTCCTGAAGTTTTTTTAAAGTGAAGCATATGACAATTAAGTTCTTTTTTCCACTAAATTATAACCTAAATTGTTATTGAAATTTATTTGTTTAGTTATATGTATTGCGGTATGTGTTACTGATATCAACAGATTTAAGTAGTATGTATCATCAGTCGAAAATGAAATGCCTGAATACAGAAGGTTAAGAAGATTTAAGAAAGAGAATGAGAACAAGGAATGATTGGTGTGGAAACGAAAGAACAGTGAAATCTGAGACTATTGATTGATATTTTGCAAATGAAGTATTTACTGTATGGGTCTCAGAGTTTAGTAAGATTTGTATTCATGTACATTTGTTTGTTCCACTTGGTGTTCTCGTTCACTATAGTTGAATTTGTTTTAGAAAATTATCTCATAGTTGGTCAGTTTTCTTTTACACTCAAGAAATCTCCATAGAATTGTATGAAACTTCTTTTGTATCTGTTTCGCTTAATAAAACATTGGAAATATAATGCTTGGTAACATAAGTTTCAATCCTATAAGAAATAAAATGTATCCTCATAATTGTAATATTCTTTATTGATGAGTTTTAACTAAAGTGGAATCTACGTCGAACAGAGATTTCTGTAGACTACTATCAACCAACGAACTAGTTATATGAACTTACTGGAGTAATTCAAATTAGAATGAATTTTCGTTTGCACTATCTTCGATATTATCAGTTTAGGGGTAGTGGAGATTGTTAAGTTTTAGATTGATATCATGAACCGATTGATGTTAGACCACCATTGAAAACCCGGAAGCACTGGACGGACGTTTCGTTCTATTGTGGGGCTCCTCAGCGAAATTGTGGATGCGCGCTGCTGAGGAGTCCCATAACAGGACGAAACGTCCGTCCAGTGCTTCCGGGCTTTCAGTGGTGGTCTAACATCATGATCTCTTCGATATTATTCACTTAAGTTGATGTATTGTATTTTTTATATAGAATTTTATAATAAATCCCTAATTAATGTAAATTTTGATTATAAACATTCAGTAGAATCTTGTTTGATACAGTGTATTCATTGCATGAATTATCTGCTGTCCATCATGAAATGCATAGATTTCTTGGTAGTTCATTCTTCACATCTTTTTTTTATCCACTAATGCATAAATTCTAAATAGAGCAATACAGAGTAACTTTAAATTGAACAATTAATTACTCTATTGTGATTGTATCTTATTTATCAAAGAAGAAATATTTACCAACTGATGTAACGTATCCACTTGAGTTCTGTTATACTTAACATAACGATAACCTCTATAAACAGTTTCCGAATTCACTTAAGGAAGCAATGTGGTTAAAGAAGGAAATTAACTGATGCCAACAAGTTCATGTCAGTGAATTTGTTGAATTATAGACAGATTCAATATTTGAGTAGGTCACAAAGATTTGTTGAAATGTTTGTAATTTATTTAAAGAAAGTTGACTGAATTCAAAGAAAATCGCCGTAAGACTTTCAATCCAAAACATTGTGTCTGCTTTTTGATTTGTCCAAATGAACTGATTTATTTAGATTTTAGTTAGCAAGATTATTGTATTACCTTACTCGCGAGTCGTCAATTAAATGTATTTCCATTTCAATGTTAATGTCAGTACTGATATTTGAATCCATTTATGATCCAGCAAACTGTTTAATTCAAATAGCTATCAACCTATTCAATTTGTATGTTTTCTCAGTTGTCACCAATCACTATAATGGACTGAACTAATTCAGTCACTTATAGGAATGAATTGGCATGAAATGGAAATAAAGAAACAGTGAAGTCTGAGACGATTGATTGATATGTTTGTAAGTGAAGTATTAACTGTATAATTCTCAGTAATTTTGTGTTCAAATATATTCGATTGTTCTCGCTTGTGTTCTCCTTCACTACTATATATCAGTAAACATTATGTTCTTTATATGGAAAGATTTCTAGTAACATTTTGAATAAACTTCATTTTTCGAATAGTCGCTGCAATATAAACACTGTTTCTTACCTTAAATTGTTAATCTTGAGATATTTCAAAATGTTTCATGTTTTCATTCCATTATTTTAATTGTTCACTTGTAACTAAAGAAATTGGGATGATGGTGATGATTTATAGATGAGGAGGGCATATGTTTGATACTGATAGGCTATTTATACTAAACTATATGATTATGAAACTTTCGTTGTCATTCTGGATTGTATTATCAATACTTAATTAGTGTAAACAAAAACTATCATTTAGTAAAGTTTCGTGAATCACTTCATATTTACTGTTGTATTCTTTTATGACAGATACATAGTTACACTTGGAGATATTTTTGTTGTCAGAGAATAACTCTACTCACCTGATTACTTACGTCTGTCACACCTCGTGGAGGAGCATAAACCGCTCATCAGGCTCCTTTAAACAACTCCGCCAAGAACAACACTTTATAATTCTTTCCAATTGCTATTTACCATTTCGATGTCTGCTAACAATACCCTGCTCAATGTGTTATTTGGTCTTACGGAATTCCGTTTCCTTTCATGATTACAAGTGAGGGCTTGTTTCGTGATGCAGTTCGATGGTTTCCACAATGTATGTCCAATCAACCTTGATCATCGTTTCCTTATATTCTCTTCATCTGAAAGCTGGTTTGTTCTCTCCCATGGTAGATTGTTGCTGATGGCATGTGTTCAACGGACATTAGGTATTTTACATAGATAACTGTTTACAAATACCTGTATTTTTCGATGATAGTTGTAGTTATTCTCCAAGTTTCATCTCCGTATAGTAGAACTGTCCTGAAATTCCTATTGACGATTCTTACAATAATATTGACTGACAGTCGTTTCGATGATGAACGAATAGTAATAATAAACGTATTGTCTGCTATGATGAGCGAATACTCTTTTTTCCAAAATTGTTTTAACTTCACTATACAAACACACCTATTGGTCATAAGAATTAATATTCACACCATGTTTACTAAATGGAAAGTAATTATCTCTACGTATTGAAATAGTAAAATCATGCACAATCGATTGGTATTCAATCATCAGATTTGATCGAATTTGATCTTATTCAATGTTGCTATATAACTTCTGATCTAATCTTACTATGCAGAAGTGTACCATAACAAATCATAACCAATTAAAATTTAAGTTATCAGTAGCTTTTTACAAGTAACGATTGATCATCATAAGTTCATATAAATCTACAGTTATTTTAAAGTTAAACTAAATGTTCTCAAAAGATTCTAGAGTCGGAATATTCCTTAGCTAATATATTGATTGGGGTTGGATTTTATTTTCCGATCAATATTGTCACTACATTTTCTGGTAGAGATTTAAAAGAAATTCTATTTACGTTATACACTCGAAGTATGAAAATTTAACACAAATCGGTTCATCATAGAACATTCAGAATGACACTAATAGCCACAGGTAAACTTCAAATGTTTGATATTACTTATATTGATTACGTCTGACCAGCTGAGTAGTCTGAAATAGGCCTTGACACTCCCTCCTTCTCACATCGTATCTATTCAACATAAACGTGTTATAAAATGATTAATTTAAGGCAACAGAAATCGAACAAAATTTAATAAAAATACCAACAATCGGTTTATTCAAACCCATACAAATCAAATTAACATTCATTTAAAAGTCGATGATGATGATGATGCTTTGGATGATGATGATGATGATGCTTTGGATGATGCTTTGGATAATGATGCTTTGGATGATGATGATGATGATGCTTTGGATGATGCTTTGGATGATGATGCTTTGGATGACGACGATGATGATGCTTTGGATGATGATGATGATGATGAAAAACCAATAAGTATATCATTGAAGTTAAGCACAGAATGTATGAATATCATACAATAGTTTATTCTAATTAGCTTCTTATTTTTCATTATATCTTCTGATCACATTAATCGGCCTTGTTTTGTATCTTAGTTCTAAACATCAATATTCATCATTGATTTATTTGTATTGTTCTGTATGATTTTGATTTGAGATGGGAATAGAATTTGACCTTATAATATAATACGTCAGATGACCTCAAAAGTACCCACATCCACACACCACACACACACATTAAGACAGAGAATAAAGATTTAATTAATTACAGAAATTAATTGAAAATGATTAATAAATGAAATTTGGGTCAAAATTGGTCATTTTTTTCTTCTAAAAGAAGCAATTCAACTTTTGCTTTGATTTTCTTCATTATCTTAAATAAGGTCTTTGAATAATAACAATTTACTAATATAGAAATAATGTTATATAAATGTGAGATATATCTAGTTGACAATAACAGAACTCTTATTAAATATACAAAAGAGGTATTACATAGTAATAAACTGAAAGTGTCATTTGATGTGGAAATAAATAAGTGACTGTAAGTGACTAGAATAAATAATCATGTTTGAATGAAACGATCCACTAAACTTAATTGTTATGACTTTAAACCCGGCTAGTTATCACGTGATTTATTTGCCAATCGAAATACGACTTCTTCAATCTTAGTACTATCCCAAACCATTGATGTTCGACCGGTATCAACAGCCTAGTGCTCTTATTGATCATTTGTTCGCCTAGCCTGTCTATTTCAGTCCAGAACACCGATAACACATCCCAATATGCGAATTATTTATTTCAAACATACTTAGTTTGTATACTGGCCAAACAGACCAGATAACACTATAAAATAAGGAAAAAAACATTTATACAAGATCAAGTGAAAAAGTGGCTGTTAAAATGGGAGACTGTAATCAGTAAACTGAACATAATTTAAGAACAGAAAATTGTATAATAATAATCTATAGGTCGAAATGAAGCTTATCATAAGAGGAATATAGATATACCTAATCTAGTTAGTGAATAGTTAAATAATAGGTATGTATATAGATGAAATTAGTCCATTGATAGTTCTCAGAAGTTACCCGTAATTTAATCTCCATTAGGATATAAAAAATATGTAATTATCAGTTTAGGGGTTGTAGAGATTGTTACGTTTTGATTGAGATCATGAACCGATTGATGATAGACCACTGTTGGAAACCTGGAAGTACTGGACTGCCGTTTCGTCCTATTGTGGGACTCCTCATCAGTACGCATTCACGATCCCCTCGCAGGATTTGAACCCAGGGCCTTCAGTTTCGCGCGCGAACGCTTAACCTACTGGACCATTGAGCCGGCATCCAATGGTGTTAATGTCCAACCTCAACCAATTCACGACATTAACGCCATTGAATGCCGGCTCAGTGGTCTAGTAGGTTAAGCGTTCACTCGTGAGACTGAAGGCCCTGGGTTCGAATCCCGCGAGCGGGATCGTGGACGCTCACTACTGAGGAGTACCACAATGGGACCAAACGGCCGTCCAGTGCTTCCAGGTTTCCAACAGTGGTCTATCATCAATCGGTTCATGATCTCAATCAAAAATATGTAATTATATAAAATGATAATTTGAAGTTTTAAAATTATTTCTCAATATATTTAACAAGATAATGTAACCTACAAGCCAATCTCCTCTAATCAATTACGACATGACTGTTATGTTTAATCTCTGGTCATCGAGTTAAATCAAAATATTGACACGAAAAAAAAGTGTTTAAAATAAATTGTAAATAATTATTTATTTCAAAAAACAAACTTTTCAAAACAAATAAAAACTGGATGGTTTTGAACATGAAGCTTTCATCGTTATTTTGAACGACATCATCAGTACAAGTTTAAGTAGAAGTGAAGTATGATCTGCTTAGTATTTAATAATTATTTTTGATGTTAGATAGTTTGAAATCGTTTAGCAACTAAACTGCAAGGTAATTAATTCTGTTTTGTTTTTTTTAAAACAACAACCGCTTTTTTGGAAGTCAGTCATTCCATCTACTTTTTCATATGAAATAACAATAATTTCTTGTTTCAGTTTCTATGAAGTAATAACATATTCCCCCATGTTATTTCCTCTGATTATATGTACTGGCATCATTTTACGTTTGTGAATTTTCATCATTATGAATGTTTTCAATGTATTTGTTATTCGATGTTGTCTTCTTATTTCAACTGTTTCTCTTATATCCAGGACTTGAATTTTTGTTATACCGCATACAACGTGAGCGCTAGAACATTTGAACCCTCCAATTCCTAAGTTATAGGAGAGAAGACGAATGAAAAGAAATCAAAAAAGTCAAATGAAATCATCATTACAACCATCTAATTCGTAGGCAATGGTTTTTAGAATTTTCCTAATAGGGAAGCTACACGTCGAGATTTTGTAAGATTCTTCCGAAAGATGATTGGATGGAATGTCTTCAGCTTTTTCAGAGCTTCTTGTAGCTTCTGTGAGTTCACTAGGAGCCTACCCCACAGTTTGTCATATTTCATGTCGGTTAAGCAGAACATAAATTTCTGACAAAGTAACATATGAAATTCAATTTTCTTTTTTATTTTAGTGGTTAGATTTATTTCCAGGGAATATTTTAAAACAAGACATTAGTGGATATTCATAATCTGAGGTGTTTTAGATATATACGTCAGCAAACCCACATATGACGGAATCCATCTATTGGGTACTTTCTGTGAAGTTCAATGTTGTTTGTCTTATTAACTACAGTGAGTTGATAGGTAGGTAGATTATTCAAAACAATTCGATTATCAAGTGATATCACTCATATATATTTGTGTCCGACAGTACACATTTAAGTAATCCGGAAATATATTTTACTTAGTTTTACAATGAAAAACACTTTTACAGTACAAAAACCAGTATGAAATAATTTACGTTTAATTGTAATCAATTTCCATGGCAAACGAATAATAGTTCATTTAATCAAGTGTGGAAACATTTTTTTTAAAAAACGTTTAGCTTTCTAAGATGCTATTTATAGTACCTAGCATTGGAATTCAGGACGCGGATTTTGTTCTATTCGGGACATTCTAGCCAAAAAATGCTTTCAATCATGTTGTTGTTGATACTGGTACTCGAATTCAGTTGCTTTCATAACGAGTGCTCAATACATTATTCACTAAGTTGTTCAGTTCAAATAGACATTGACTTGTGCGACTGAGTGAATTTTCATTCATCTTTAAATCATAGTGTTAAATTCAACACTGAAGTCTAGATATATCTGTCCAAGTAGTCTCAAATGTGGCGAGATGCACGTTATAAATTCTATTTTAAGCTACTATATAACTCCGTTTAAAACGATTACTTGTTAGTATGAATATCAAAGCAATTCACACTTAATGGATATAAACCAAAAGAGACTGATTGATTGCAGACATTAACATCAACAATAAGAAGATTCGAATAATCATTGCAAATGAACTAAGTCTTAATATTCGTTTTATTGAGAAGTTAAGTTAAATATATACGTCATACTTAACAAAAGCAGGATCTTAATGATGGATAAAGTATTAGTCACATATTTTCTGAATAAACGTTTAATTGGACAAAATGTTTTATTCATTCTCTATGATTTCGTATTATTACTGATACTCCAAATTAGTGTTTCTGTTGACTTATGAGGTCATTCAACCAATTTTGAATAAGGTCGTGATCTATGGAGGTATGTAGTTTCAAACTAAAATTCACTTACTTTCTACGACTTGCTAGTGATCAGCTGTTCAGTAGTTGAAATCAGTCCAAGACAACTTCAACAGTCAGACAAATCAAAAGTAAATAATTGGTTTTAATAAATTTTGTTCTACGGTACCCATTTCTCCTGAAAACATTTTCTTTTCCTTTCTTCTATGAACACAACAAATATACTTTAATCAGAGAGGGGCTCTGTGGACATTATAGTAATTTAATTGTTGAATTCATGAGTCTTTGAAGCTAGATCACCATGAAACACCCGGAAGCACTGGAGTCCCATACTAGGATGAAACAGTCGTTCAATGCTTCCAGGTTCTAGCTTCAATTGACTCACGAATTCAACTATTAAATTGAAATTTTTTTAATTTTGTCGTATTCGGTTATTAACACTTTGCAGAGAACGGTTGGATTAACAGATTGTATTTATCATAGACTGAACATTTTAGGAGTCAAATTGTTAACAAAATAGGATCAAACAACTATTCAATCATAATATGATATATTATAACAGCGTATACTTATGAATCTACCAGGAACCAAAAAAAGAATTTTAAAAAAATATTTCAAACTCAATGCTAAACCATTAAAACTATTTATTCGATATCTCAACGCTAGTACCCAAATTGTTGATAAGTTGATTTAGAGATGATGGAGAAAATTTGTAGCTCATGTGGATGATTTTGATGGATAGTGGATAGCAGTGGAATGCAGTTTAGACGTGCGTTTCTTCCTACTTGGGACTCTTCAGCTGAACGTACTTGCATCTCAGAGTTGATGTTCACTCTGCGATTCGAACGCAGCACTATTTGCCATCGCGTTATCCACTCAGTGCGTCCTGGATTTCACTATTAGCCACTATCCATCTTTGCTTACAAAGCTTGTAAATTAAGGCAATATCGAGGCAATACACACAGGATGTACATATACTAACAATAGACTGATCATCTGCAGTCCTAAACATCAATGGTTGGATTCAAGTAAAACAATATCAAGTGAATCCATCAAAATAAGTTAATTTACTTCTATTTTTCTATTCACCACATATTCATAAAACAGAATATTTAGAAATGATAAATACAATCTAAACATCATTTTGAGATGATTTTTATTACAAACTCCATGATTAAACTAGTGGCAACTTATATGATTAATATACAAAAAGGGATAAAACGAAACAGATTTGTTTTTTGTCGAAAACACTTTGTTTTTTTACTATGACAACAACTTTGAAAAAAGAGAAAAAAGAAAACGAGAAAATGTTTTTTTAAAGATTTATTTAACATAT